CAATCTCTAACTTGGTATCATCCATTAATGAAAATAGAAGCCACAAACATGGAACCCAAGATTTTAATCTACCAAAACCTTGGATCATGGTTGATGGGAGCAAGGATCTATTTCGAAATGGAACTGGATTCCACCGATGAATGGAAGTGGTCCCCTTTCTTTGGAGCAAGATCCCAAAATCGAAAAAACGGAGTCCCTACAAGATCCCTTGCAAGAACCGATCGAGGTTCCAAAGCAGGATCGTCACCCTACCCACAAGATTCCCTTAACTATGGTTGCAACTTATATAAACGTTTTTCTTAATTGGATAATATTGATGCAATAACTTGGCCACCTAGGCGGCCGCCTCTGCCTTTATGAACATTGAAAATAAAAATAATTTTTCCCTCCATTATTCTCCTGTGGTTGGAAAAAATTCATCCTCCGCAGCCGCCTCCGCCTTTATGAGCATTGAAAATAAGAATAATTTTTCCCTCCATCATTCTCCTCTAGTTGGAAAAAACTCGTCATCGTAGTTTGAAGAGTGCTAAAATGAATTCAGCATCAAAACCACATTCTTCAACCCTCTTTTTCTTTGTCAGCTCAAATATTATACATGGTAAAAAGATCAGTGCCATAATTTATGGTTTATGAGTTAACCACATTTTATCAGAAAATATTATACGTGGTAAAAAGATCAGTGCCATAATTTATGGTTTATGAGTTAACCACATTTTAGCTGTGCTACTCTGATTCCAATACCCTAAATTTCTTGAATGCTCTAAAACTTCGATATTAATGAGATGTTCAAAAGCCACGATTTGGATCAATCCTCGTGCGACCTTCTCCATATTCTTCACCCTCTTCCAAAATATCTTTATCATCATCTTGATCCTTAAGATCACATCCCCTAAATGATCTTGTTGTTCATCAGAGTATGTATCGAAGTTTACTGGTGAATCTCAATCTATAACGAGTTGATTTCAATACAATATGTGTCAAAATCGAGAATCTCATCCTTCAAATCAAAAACACGTCTAGGTATTATGTCATTATCTTCATCACTCAATGGCCCCCGCGGTGCACGAAAATGAAAAAGCGTGTACTCGAGATACTCTTAAGCTGAAAGATCACCATCTTGTCCATTATTGAGACTCACAAACTGCTGGTAGTGTTCATAAAGGCAGAGACACCCACCTAGATGCGAGCCTAAATACTTGGGGAGCCCAAGGAAGAGAGAAGTAAGATAGAGGGGGAGGGAAGAGAGAGAGTTTTGTGAGATAGGGTGGAGAGAGATTTGAGAGGAGAGACAGATGTGAGAGAAATGAGGGGTAGACCTAGGGGAAAGGGAGAGAGAGAGAGAGAGGGGTGGGTGGGGAATAGATTGAGACACATGGCTTATGTAGTATATTGACTAGCCACGTGCCCCCCTATTCCCCAATTTCCATCCACCTAAAACTTCCCGCTTTTCTTCTATGTCGCCACATATCTATCCTCCTAGTTTCCCTCACCTCAAAGGGGTTTTCAAATTTAAATGGGGGAAGAGAGAGGAGAGATATAGAGAGAGAGGAGAGAGGGGGATGGGATGTGTGAAATGTGGTTTAATGGAGGTCATGCATCTTTACACGTAGCGAGGGCACATGTTCCCCTCCTTTTTCTATCAACAACTCCCTTGCATGAGATAGACTCGTGTCTTTCTCCTAAAATTTTGTGTCAACATGTTTTTTATTTGTATTTTTACTCAAGTTATATTACCCTATATTTTAATTGTGTTTATTTTAACCGAGAGATAAACGAGAGAGAAAGAGAGAGAGAGGCCTTTTTTTTTTAATCTGCCTTTGGTTTTCTATCCTCCTTTTTTTAGCTTTTCAAGGGGTGGCAGGCACTAGGCGGGTACCCAAAACCATATAGGGGCCCGCCTAGACCCACCCACCTAGGCTACGTCTAAGCAGCCAGGCAACCAACTTTTTCAACACTGACTGTTGCTCGACTGTTGAATTTCCTATTCAAGTTCCTCAATTGTCGTCTGGATCACGAAGCGGGTCTACAAAACCCCCTCCCACAGCCCTTTTCACCGCCATGAATTTACTGAAATCACAAACTCTAGGCAGATGACCAACAAAAACCTACTGAAATCAGCAAGATCAAGGCTGATTCGGCAAAACTTGGGCCAAAATCAGCAAACCCTAGATTTGAATGTAGTGCCTTGGCCTTGTTGTTGAAGAAACCCCAAGCTCTGATACCAAATTGATGTAGGAAAATTTTGAAGAACAATAAAATCAGCAAGAAACAAAGCCAAACACAACCACAATTCAAAGAAACCTAGGGTTTTCTCCATACCCAAGCTAGAGTTGCTAAGGACTGAGCTTTTCTTTTTTCTTAGTTCTGGAAAATCACATGACTGCCTTCTCATAGGCCCCCACACACCTCTGAATAATATTATTTAATGCTCCAAGTACAAAAAGTGTCCAAACAAATAATACATTGACGCATATATCCTAACTTAAACTAAAAATTCATAATGACAATTTTACCCCGATCAATAGTACTTGTGAATAGTAATCATGAAATAAATAAAACATATAAAAACCCTATAATCCCTAAAAACCTAAAGAACCCTATAAATAAGGAATTGTCTACAAAGAGACCATTTATCTTTTACACATGGAGATCACAATCATTCTTGCCCCTGTGGTTGTAAGAGTGTCATTGAATAGACACGAGGTTCCAAAAAAAAATTCTCGGACTTCATAACTCACCCCAAACCATCCAATTTGACATCGAGTAAGAATGATTGTGACCTCCATGACAAAAGATAAATGTTCTCTTTGTAGACAATCCCTATAATTTAACCCTAAAACTAAAACTATAATGTACATCATTTGAAATTGAATAAAAATTAAAATTACGAATAATTTTGCCCTCCATCAGTTGCATAAGTGAGAAGTAAAACTAAAGACCCAAAATAAGGATTCAAATTTCAGTTCTTAGGAATAGAAGAAGCTCTAGTGTTTGACGAAAATGGTAGTGATCCTGATGCAACAACTCAAATATGTTGGTTATCCACTGCCCCATTTTAAATGAATCTCCAAATGTGTTAGTGATCTTTGGTAGCAATGTAAACTCGACTCCACATTGGTGGAGGCTCAATTCCACTTACTCATGGACTCATCATTTTGATGAGAGGAATCTGGATCCCATTAACAAGGATCTAGATCCCCCAATTTTGCAAATCAAGATCCCTAAATTCAAAAAAATAACTTGAAGAAAGTGCGAGCAGATCAACACCAGCTGATTATGGGACTGTAATTCGCACAAAAGTAGAGAGTAATCTCGCAAGGAAACTAGAATGTTCTGCTATGTTTATCTTGAATATGTCATTTATGAGACTGAGAACAGAAGACACTAACTGATCCACCATTTCTAGAAGAGGTTATCAACATATTTGTAGTTTAACGCAACTTAAGCCAAATTGATTCACATTTAACTGGCCTTATATCAATGTTTGAACACACATCATCATGCATCACTTCCATATATTAAGTATGTTCTTCAAATCTAATAACCATATGGAATCTGCTATCATCCGACATTACAGAGTGCAGCCAACACCCAACTGCCTAGGCCACAGCAACTTTGGTACAACCTATCTATGAAATTGTACTGTCAATAAGAGTATTTCAAGATGTGTAGCAATTGGTTAAATTGGAGATATCGAAACAAATTGTCTTTTGAAGTCCAGTATTGATACAACCACATGCCATCAACAGCCACATCACTAGAAGGCTCACCTGGACCCTTGACCTTAGCTAGCATTCAACGGCTTTTTATACAAGATTGCAAATTATAGAGACCCTCCTTGCTTCTATCTTTGAAAATGATCCTTCATCTTAATTTATATTCTGGTAAATGGAATTACCAAACTAATTCTGCCTCCTTGCAGATGCAATCCTCAATCACCCTTACCAAGGTAAATTGTCCCTGTAGTTGTGCCACGTATATCTATAGCAAAATTTGGCAACTCCCAGATGTGTTCCTTGTCCTTGATGCTTATATGAAATTAATTTTCACTGAACAGCCTTTTGATCAGCATGTTTTGCTATACTTAGTAAACAGCCTGCTTCATGCTCTACATAAACAGAAGCTGATTGGAAAAGGTCATTAAGTGAGAAGAATGACCACATCAACTATTATGGATCACCTTAATAATGTGCTTTTGTGAATGTTCTAGATTTATTTGAAAATAAAATACAATGAACCTCTTTGTAAACCTACAGAATGAATGTTTCGGCCATCCAAGACCTCAAAGACTTCTTTAGTTTGTCATCTTCAGGTTTATTACTTCTAGCATATACAATTTCACACACATACCCAAAACACATTTGCTTTGAGGGAAATAACTCTATGAGAAAGTTCTTTCCTGCTGGACTACTGCTTCCCATGTTTCTTTTGTGGGAAAGCAGTAGACACTGTAGCACATGGGAAAGCACATTCCACTTTTGTAAAGTGCACAGTGCATTTTCGATTTTATATCTCTTTAGCTATGAGACTGCTTACTCATGTGACCCGAAAGCTCTCTCTAGGAATGCACTCCCCCACAAGAGCTCTCTGACAAAATAATGACCCATAAAAGAATGACAAAACACCTTTAAAAAAGCAGTAATACCAAATTAGCATGGGCAATCACAGAATTCTGTAATACCTGGGAAATCATAAACTATCCAAACAGTTTCACATCAGAAACATGTCATGTACTCATGTCAGCCCCCTACTACGAATGTGGAACATAATATCACAACATAAACATAAAATTGACCATGAAATCATCTAGATAATATTGACAAAATCTCACAACAGACACACTAATTTACAAATGCAATCATCTAGTTAATATTGTGTTGGCATGTAGTTCGTAGCAAAATGTATTTTCAGTTAAGCTATCAAGTTACAATAAAGTATTGGACAATAAAGTAGCAGGCACACCCTATAATAGTTTCTACCAAATGTATTAGTAATATCACCTGTGAGATTGCATGATGCATGCCATGTAGACCTGCATGCCAGTTGCAAGAAAAACTTGATTGAGTCCAGGAAATATTGAACCAGACCCTCAACTTACTTTTCCAGTAGTACATTACATGATCAAACATGTAAATAAAACAAATAGAGGGATTATCACAAGTTCAACAGAAATCATATGCCAGACCATTGTTTCCTACTTTTCTTTTTTATTATATCATACTTATGTGCCAGACCATTGTTTCCTACTTTCCTTTTTTATTATATCGACCAGGGCATCTGTCATTAATTCTTAATTGGCAATCCAGGTCAGGAATCGCATATCTGGATCAGATTAGGAGGGAGACTAGGCTGGATCACCGTTTTGGCCGATCCAAATCATCCGATTAAGCCAATCCAGATCGGTAAAGTGGAGGGCTGATCCACCCGGAAGATTCGTGTCTTAAAACATTGATAAGGAGCATTTGTTTCCTACTTTTTATATTGCTTAGACCACTAATTCCTAGTCATTAGGCCAGCATGACTACTCTAGCTTAGCTACTTAATTCATTGAATTCCTTACAGACTGCCTTAACCTGTTCTATTCATATGCAAATATACAAAAGAGCTAATGACACTGTTCAACACATAAGAGCATCCATTAGTAAATAACAATCTACTTTCTGAAAATTACAGGATCCATGTTAGCCTTTTGATTGAATTCATGTCTAAGTTTCTAAAAACGACACACCAGAAACTGTGGCCTTCATCTATTTATATAAGGATTTGCGCTTCTCATAGCATTTTGGGTTTAAGAGTCCTATCAATCAAGGGAGTGCTTTGTGTAATAATTAGTTTATATCACTGTTTCTTCGGAATCTTTTGTCCAAAACCAGAAGAACGATCTCACATTCGCAATCTTTTCTGTGATTTCTCAGTTTTGCAGACTTATCCCAAACGAGCCAAAATACCAAAGAGATTGAACGTGAAAGCCAGTTCAGACAAAATATCAAATAAAATGCACCAAAAAAATGTCAGAGAGAGTCAACTTACGCCTCAGATAAATTGCAGTGAAGCAATTGAGACAGATAAAAATATGACGGAAAAAAATAAAAAGTTGAGTTAGAGAGAGTGAAATGGAGAAGAGTGAGATGGAGAGAGCACCGGTGATTCTTGAGCTTCAGTTTCAGCGACTCCTACATTTGGATCCATTCTCTCTCTCTTTCTCTCTCTCTCTCTAACAACCAAGAACTGTAGTGTAGGCTCTGCGTATGAGTTTTGAGCGCCAAGACTGAACTATAAATACTCTTCTATTTCCAATTTGAAAGTGGGAAGGGCAAAATGAAACGCTAGGCCACGAGTCGCCTTTCCAGCCTGGCTCCGGCCGGTGCGCGCTTTGAGAAGAGGGCCATGAATTTTGACGAATAGACGGGTCAAAACTCCGGCCAGTTCCGATTCGGTTCATCCATCTGGGTTGGTAATGACCGGGACCGATTCTTGGGATGATACGAGTCCTAGGTTTAAAAAATGGATAGGTGGATCGGTGCATGCACATCTCAAAAACGGATAAGTGGTTTAAAAAACGTATCAGTGCCATGGATCGGGCATTTCAAAAATCCATCCGAATCGGTGAATCATCGATCTGGATCGAGAATCGACCGGATTAAATTTTAAAAAAAATCCAAAATAATTATTAAAATTCATTATAAATAGTGTGTTTTAGGAATCCAATAAGAATTGAGGGTACTACATTATTAACTGTCATTTTTTTTTATCAATTTGTGAATATTGAGACGTTTCTTTCCCTGTATAAACTTATGTTAACCATTAAATTTACATCACACAAAAAAAAATCATAGAATTATCATGGATAAAGTATATAATCATATATGGACTTCAATAAAGAGCTGACTAAATCAATGAAAAAATGGCCACTAAAATCTCGAATTGACGGAAAACCCTAATCCGTTAAAAGAAATCCAAATTATTACAACCTAACTAACTATAATATGATATACTGAAATTAAAAATGTTGGTTTATATTTTATAATTATTTTATCATACAAAAAACAACAAATCCAAAATATTTTATAATATCATCTAAACTAAAATGTATTATTGACAACTGTAAGAAAAATAGTACATTACATGATTTATAATGAAAAAATTAATAAATAAAATAAAAGATTCAGTTATTAATGTAGAAATTATTAGAATGCGTACCAATTTTCGAAATAAAATTTTAATTTTTCAAAAATTTAATTTTTTAGGTTTCTAGAATAAATTTAGTAAAAGAGATTGTTGGTAGAAAAAGAGAGATTTCAAATAGAAAAAACTTTTTAGTTTTTATTTTTTAAAAAATCATTATTTTCTGCTTATTTTTTGGACAACAAAAATAAAATGGATAGTGTGATCAGGCTGAAATTCAAACTCGAGAGTTCCACAAAGAAAGTGGAAGTGATAACCAACCAGGCTACGTCGTGTTGTATGACTTTAATGGAAAGTTAAAAATATATATTAAAGCTATGTTATAATTTAATGCTTGTGGAAATTATCTCACATCCAAGGATGAGTGTCACATATTGTTCTATAAATAGCTATGCGACGTGTCGACTTGGGCGAGTCCATTGCGACTCCCCAAAAACCCATCCGAGTCAGTGAATCGGTGTTTCGGATTTAGAATTGGCCGAATCAGCTGGATTCGACCTCAAAAAAATTATTAAAAATCATTATAAATGTTGTTTTTTAGTATTCCAATAAGAAATGAGGGTACTACATTAATAACTTCTATTTTTTTTGCATCAATATGCGAATATTGAGATGTTCTTTCCCTGTATGAAGATTCTCATCAAATATTTATTAAAACCTAACTAAATACAATATTATACATTGTAATTAGAATTATTGGTTTGTATTTTATTATTTTACCATCACTTTACTATACAAATAAAAATAAATTTGAAATTTATCTTATAATATCATCTAATTTAAAAATGTAATTTACAACTATAACAAAAAATAGTACATTGCATAATTTATAATGTAAATGAATAAATTATAAGATTTGATTATCATTGTAATTAGTATAATTATTAATTACAATATTATAATAAACATAATTAAAAAAAACAAGATTATGACCTTCACAAATAAATAAATCTAATGTATAATAATTAGTACTGATAGAAATATAGAATTTAGTAACATAAATTTGTAATCATATTTTAATAAAATTAGAAAAATAAATAAAAAATGCATACTTGCAATGTGGGATACTCGATAAAGCAACTTGAAATAAATTATAAAGTGATAGGAGCTAGTGTTATTTTTCTCTCTTAAAATATATCATAAACTAGTTTTTTTTTTTAATGTTCAATAAGCCATATAATTATGTTAATTTTTGTAAATTATTATATGAAATTTTATTTTTATAAGCTAATGTTATTTTTCTCTCTTAATTATATATACTTTATGTTTGTATATTATAAAATAATAATAATAATTAATCTTAAAAAAAATTAAATCTTAAAAATAAATAAATATAATTAATCTTAAAAAAATTTATAGACCATTTGATTTTTATAGATGTCCTTGTGTAAGAGAGAAAGATTTATTTATAAAATTTATAATGTACGATGATGATCAGGTGGCTCACCCCTCTTATTGATGGCCCAACCCATCCCTACCTAATAGTATTAAATTAATTTTTTTGGTTTGGGCTATGAGAATATGAACCTGCTTCTAGAGAGATGTGGGACGGATATAAACCTGCATCTAGAGAGAGAAAGAGATGAGTCAAAAGATGTTGTTTTTTGGGTTGGGCGATGAATGTTTTTTGGGTTGGGCAATGGATATATACCTGCTTCTATTTATTTTTTTTGGGACGGATATAACCATCTCTCATGCAATGTAACAATACCTTTTTTGTGGGACGGATATAGTCATATCTCATTCAATGCAACAACGCCATCATTTTTTGGGTGAGGCTATGAGAATTGCCCCAAATCGAAGGGATGTGGAACGGAGACGCCTATAAAAGAGTTGCAACAACAACATAAGCAGTCAGTTGTTTGGGAATTGGGAGTAGGGCCGTGGGCAGGACCGGGTTTCGTCTCCCACACAAGCAAATGGTTGTCTTGAATTTCAACAAAAATTTTAATAAAAAAAATGGCGGGCACATTAGACCGAATGATCTCGTGACGTTAGCATGGCGATCCGTGATGTAAGCATGGCATTTAAAAGTTTTTCTAATAATAAAATGGAGGTTTATTATTATTTAAAAGTTTTTCTAATAATAAAATGGAGGTTTTTCTAATAATAAAATGGTACAAGCGCGTCAGACCGATGTCATGTGACGTTAGCATGACAATTAAAAGGCTAAAAACACCTGAAATCCGTTTTTTCTTTGGATATGGGATAGTTTGGACGATACTCGATCCAGATCGCCGATTTTTCAAACACTGACGAGTACGGCCTGATATCCCACAAAGCCTCCCTTTTACATTTTTTTCCCTTTTTTTTAACTTGTTTAATATTTTCTTTGGTCCCAAATAGCAAACGACAAAAATTAAAAATAGTATCAAACTACAATCAACAAAAAAAATTCATTTTGTTGCTTAAACTTTCGAAAGGGTGTTCAAAATTTGGTAGCATCCATAGAGCTCTAGACACATCTATGTATGGAGAGATAGAGAGAGAATAGAAGACTGGTTATACCCTGGTTATACCCTTCAACTAAATTATTTTTTAAGATAGCAAATGGCATTTTAGGGTTCTTGCATTCTCTCTGCAACTTAGGTTTTCACGATCACTTTTAGTTTTGGGGAGCTTGTGCAGCGAAGAGGCTTCCAATGCCAGTTTTCAGAAAAGTTTGTGAATCTCCAAGAAGAATGGGAGATTGTTTTGTAACCTGCCATGGATGACAAGGAGGATCCTAGATAGATATAGTATGGCTTAGAAGTTGAAGATGGTTTCCTTTCCCAGAGTTGTTGATGAGAGCAAGTTTGTGGAGGATACCAATTTTAGAACAAAGTCGATGGTTGTGGGATCTTTTTCTCCTCCCTCTAATGGTTAGGAGAGGATGGGGTCTATCCCATTTACCGGAAGTGCATTCTTTGGGAGTTAATAAGGTGATTTTCTTTCTTAGATCTGTTGATGAAGTTAATTTTGTGCTTTCCCTTTATAGATTTGTTAGAGTTCGTGGTAAACTTTTATCTCTGAATTCCTGGTGTCCCTCGGTTCATAAGTCTCAAGCTGAGAGGGAATGCATTTGGGTTAGATTTTGGGGCATCACATTACATGCTTGGAAATTGGCCATCTTCCAAAAATTAGCAAATGCTTGTGGCTCGTACTGTGATATTGATAGGGGGATGCTGAAAGTGGGGCCCATGGATTTTGTTTGTGTTAAACTTTGGCATTTGGTCTTGGATCTTTTGCCCTCCAAGATACAAGAGAGTTTTTTAATTGACTCGATTATAAAGGAATGCAATCATAAAGCTGATAAGTCAGTTTCGGTTTCTGATTGTGATCGGCCCATAGTAAATGATGGTTGGATGGTGGTCAGTCACAAGAAGAAAAAGTATTTGAACCATGGTGTGGATATTAAGGTTTAGAGGCACATAACGAATTTTCTATCTCACCTTCTGCAGTTAAAGAACATACATGGAGGTCTTATAGGTTCAAATGTTTTGAAATTCAAAAAGATTTTGGTTATGATGGGTCACTTTTCTAGCAATTCCTTTGACTATCTCTTGCCGTCAAAGGCTTCAAAAAGTTGGGCTAAACGACCTTTAGTTGCTGATGCTGATCTCACAGGTGCACCAGAGCTTGCTTACATAGAAAAGGGGGGTAAGGCGGTGAATTCCATCTTTTTTGGGAAGGCAACAAATTCACCACCATATGTCGATCCTTTGGTTTTCGGAAAGGATGATTTGTAATTTTCTATGCATGATATTGGCAAGGGGGCAAATCATTTGGATTTGCCAGATTTGGTGGTGGGGAGTCTTTCTCTTTCTCATTTCCCTCATCTAGTTCCGTCCAAGGCTGATAAGGTTTGCTACAGTCATCTTCCATTAATGGTGAAGCCTTTCTTTCTGGTGGTGTGCTGCTTCGAAAATGAGGTTCCTCCCTTTCCTCTTGGCTGCTAAAAAGAAGGTGCATTTGCATTTGGTGGTGGGGGAACCCATTGATCCATTTGCCTTGGTTCTGATTGATGATTTGCAGGAGGAGCATAATCATGAGTTTGCTATTGAGGATGAGATTCCAGTTGATGGTGTTGATGATCCCTTTGTCCCTAAAGGGAATGATTTGGTTGTGGTGGAGGCTGGTTGGGATCAGCCAATTAATGTGGTCCCTTAAGGAGAGCC